GCACCTCCATGCCAAGCCGTCTCCCCTCAGCTGCTGCCCTACAACTGGAATGTACGAGGGGTCTCCAAAAAGTTTCCGCACTTTTATATTTTATATTTATATTTTATATTATTTTCGACGCCAAGTAAAAACCTTTTTAGTTACCCTTTATTTTAAGGACTGGGGAATTTTAACTTGATGTTAACATATTTACAGTCGCATTTTTGTTTTTGGTTTTTTTGTTTGTTGTTATATATGTTGTTTATTAATTTTTCTTAGTATTGTAAGCCGTCCTGGGATGATTTCTGTGTAGGACAGGGTAAAAATACTTTAAATATTTTTTTTTTTGCTGATGGCATTAAAAAGTTGGTACGATGCTGGGAAAATGCATCATAGAAAAGTTTTTTACATTCTTAATAAATAGAGTTTTAAAAAGTGCGGAAACTTTTTGAAGAGCCCTCATTTCTAGAACTCCCCTTCACCCCAGCCTGTGTCGGGATGATGGGGGTGGTAGTCTGCCATCGCGAGGGAAAGGCTGAGCGATGGGGCCCACCGAGCGCGAAGGCCCAAGGCCCCCGATCAAGAGATCTGGTTCCCGGAAGCCAACTCCTGTATCAGAAACCTGAGCGGGAGCAGGGTCATCCGGATCGCAGGCCTTTGGGGAACAGGAGGGAATCTTTGGAGGAAAAGGGGGGCAGAGAAAGCTTTGGGATGGGTAGCCCCCCCACCTCTGCTTACAGGGCCTGGGTGCCCCAATATCTTCAGGGGGGCCCCGGCTCTGCCGCTGAGCATTAGCAGCTTCCTGCAAGACCCCAAAGCGGGGGGGGGGGGGGGGGGGGGGACGCACCGCCAGCAGCCCAGCCTTGCCCCGAGGCAATTTCATGGGCTCCATGGAAAAGGAAGCCCAGATGGAATTCAGGATGACGCAGTCGAGCGCGGCCCGCATTCTCCGGATATTTCCCTCCCTGGCTCTTGGAAAACCCACACACGGAGCAGCCTTTTCCAGCTGGACGCCCTCCAGAGGGTCTGGCGCGCAAGCAGGAGGCGTCTTGGAGTGGCGGCCAAGCGCTCTGGAGGGCACCCGGTTGGGGAAGGGCACTCCCCATTGCGAGCTGCCACACCCACAAATCAGCCCAGAATTCCTGAGCCCAGGACTGCTGAACCAGCAAAATATCTGCTCCCTTCGGGAGACAAACTGGAACTGTTTGGCTGCCCAGGCAAAGAGTGTCAGCCCCCCAAGGGAGCGGCACTTAATTCAGAGCAGGCATTGCTGTCCCCAGCTTTTCCATGATGCCTCTACCAAGGAATCCGGGCACTTCCTGGCCGCCATTTTGCCTTGCTCTGCCGGCTTCTTCAAAGGAAGGCCCTCCCCCAGTGCTGAGCACCTTCGTGGGTCCAGGCAGTTAGGTGTGGTGATGTGGGGGAGACGTCACCTGGAGGAGCTGCGCCCCACCTGCGGAGCCGCCATGCTTCCAGCTCGGCTGGGCCCACTGCACGCTTCAAACCACACAGCTCATGCCAAGACAGCGCGCAAAACGCTCGCTGAGCCTGGCAGAAAAAGCCCAGAATATGTGCCTTCGTGTGGCATTGAAAGTTGAAGTCACAGCAGCACCACTGGAACCGAGCGGCGCGTCCTCCCGGCGCCCAGGCTGGGTGCGCGCTCCGTGGGCTCCCGGCCCCGAGCGGCAGGGCGCTGGACTTCGGCTCCGGGGTCAAGCCGAAGCTGCCCCGCTGCAGGTATCCGCATCCCGGCAGTCAGGGGCTGGGTTTTGAGAGTGGGGATGCCGCACACGGGGGCCGGGCCTTCCGCTTGCCGCACGGCGGCTGCCCCCCACGCCGCGGCAGCTTGCGCCGCCCCCTTCTGCCGCCTCTCCCTACGTGTGCCTTTCCACAGACGCTGCCGAAACCGGGGGTTGGCAGCATCTCAAAAGGTGCCTCACCGCGGCCTCCTCCTCTTCCCAAACCCGTGCTCGGCTTTCGCTGTAATTAAGTGCAGGAGCTGATTAGTCACTGTGTCTGCCCAGCCCAGGTATGCAACAAAACAGACTGGACCTGTAGTGCAAAAACACACACCTGTGCAGGTGGCAAAACTGCCAAACACACGAACTGGAGCCCGCATAATCACAGGTTCGCTTCCAGCGACATGGGGGCAGAGCTGAACTTCTACCCTCCGTGACTCAACGCAAACTTTCCGTCACTTGTCATCATCCAGGATTAATTTGGAGGAATTCGGTTAAATCGCACTGCAGCTTGCGGCTCTGCAGGTTGGCGGTGTGGGATTTGGCAAGAAACGCGGCGTCGCCACTTCGCCGTCTCCGTTCCTGCAGTTCCAGTTGGCTTCTTTGATTCGCACAAGCCGGTGGCCGGCCGATGCAGTGCACTCCGACTCCCAGCACCCCCGGCCAGCACGCTGGGCAAGGCTGAGCTAGCTGGCCAGGGAGGATGGGTGCTGTAGTCCGACACATCTCGAGGGCCCTGTGGGCAGAGGTCAGAGATCCCGGGACCCATCAAAGCGCTGGTCTTCTGGGGCCAAGATGCTGTCCCACGGGAACAGTCCCGATTTGCTGGGATTGGGGGTGGATGCTGGGACTCCCAGGCCAGGTCGTGATCCAGCCTGATGGATCCAGCCACCCTCTGAGCTCGGGCACCTGGCCAGATCCGGCTTGCTGCAAAGCTGCCTGGCCCCCCCCCCCCCCCCCTTTTTCCCGGCACCCAGCTGAAGGGTGGCCGCTTGCTGTGAGCCTGACGCCCTGAACACTTCGCCACTGGCCCCCCACCCTCTCTGCTCATTTATTTATTTATTTAAAACATTGTTATGCTGCCCCCATTACAACAAAGCCTCGGGGCAGGTCACAACAGAAACAAGATACATAAATACACAACAATATAACAATTAAAAAATTATTTAAAAACCTCCGGTGCGTCTCAGCTAAACATTTAAAATCCTATAAATACAAATAATTTAACAATTAAGTTTTACCTAAAAAGGTCTTGGCCTGGCGCCGAAAAACAAATGACGGCAGCGCCAGGCAGACCTCTCTGGGGAGCGCATTCCACAGATGGGGCGCCACCGCAGAGAAAGCCCTGCTCCGGTTACTCGCCCTCCCAATATCTTTCACGGAGGGCTCCCGGAGGAGGGCCTCCGCCGCCGATCTCAAGGGGCGGGATCTCATGGTAATGCTTCGCCCCAAAAGTTACATCCCGGGCCGCCTGGCAAGGGTGCCTCGGCCAGTGGCGCTCGCCTCCCTTCTCCGCCTCCGCCAGGAATGCCGACAGCTCCGTGAGCCCCTGGCCAGGGCGGGGAAGCTCCCAGGCTTCTGCCGGGTGTGAAAGATGGCGCTGCTTTGCCATCCCACGGAGTTATGTGCCATCGAGCCGAAGGCAGAAAGACCGCCAGGACCCGACCGGGCTGAGAAGGCGCCACCTCCTGCGTGATCCCACACCCTATCTCATTTCTCACCTGCATTTGCTGGGATTCTGCACATGCTCAGAGAGCCACCCATTTCTGCGGCCAGCTTGCAAATGCAAAGATGGAGGTCGCCCACACCTGCCCTGTTCCAAGATCCTTGAAATGTGCATGTGACGGGGGGAGTCGGCCATGCAATGCGCTTTGGTTCTGAAAGCACCTTTCTGGTTCACAGGATTTGCACAGGTGGAAATGCAGCGCCCAGCGCGCCTGAGATGTGGGCCGGGGCGGGGGGGGGGGGGGACAAACCAGGAAGCAACGGGGTCCCTTCCAGCCCTGGTTTTAATCAAAATGCAGTGACCTCACCAAGAGTCGCACGGGAGCTGGTGGAGATGGCAGCTTTACGTGGCGGGCCAAAACCCGCCTTCCGGCCGCCCACGGCAAGCCGGCCTCCTCCCAGCAGGCTGAGCCCCCACCTGTTCTCCCTGCCCCGGGAAAGGGCCAGCGACGGGTTGTTGGCCAACCGCACAGCATCTGGGAGGGAGGTGAAAGGGCGGAAGACGCCGGCCCTGCGGGCCAACGAACAGGGACTGGGCCACTGGCTGGAAGAAAGGATACTGTGGGGAGAAGGGGCAGGCCAGCAGCTGAGAGATGTGAAGCCCGGGGGGCAGCTGCAGGAAGGAAGGGACTGTTGGGGGACCCCCTGGGAAAGAGGGGTCTGGAAGGAAATGCGGTGTGGAGCTGAGGGAGACGGTGCAGAGAAAAGGGGGGCTGGGGAGACTTCGCCCGGGCTCGGCTGGCAGGCCCATGGCCAGGATGCGGGGGGCTGGGGACAAGGCCGGGCGAGAGGAAGAGGTGCCGGGGCCGCAGAGCATCCAGAAAGGTGGCATGCAAACCAGGGCGGAAGGGCCGGCCCAGACCCCAGCCGGGTCAGGGACAGAGGAACGCAGGGGGCAGCACAAGGCCCACCCTGGAACAAGCCCAGGCCGAGAAGCGGGAGGCCGAGAGAGGTGCGGGCCCCCCGGACAGGATGCTGGGCCGGGGACTCGGCCTGGCCAGGCTGACAGCACCGCTGGAATCACGCGTCCACGAGGACGAGGCGGCCTCGTGCCGCTGGCTCCGCTTCCGAGCAGGGTGGAGGAGTGGAAGCGGGGGCTCTCGCCCGCCGGTGCTGGGGGCTCCGTCAGCCTGGGCCCCCGAGGCTGCGGACATCCCTCCCCAGGCAGAGGGGCGCGAAGGGCGCTCTCTGCCTAGGCCAGAGGCCAGCACCCCGCAGCTCCGGAGCCGCACGGCTCTCTCACCCCTCTGCTGCAGCTCCGTCGCTCAAAATATGTGTCACGGCTGCCAAGGAGCGACTTCGCCTGCACCTGATTCATTGCGCTTTTCGGCCCTAGTAGGTCGACCATGGATAAATCCAAGAAAAGCAAAGTTTCAGGGGAAAACAGAACGTTTAATGGTACGTGGGCGGATTCATTTGCTTTCACTGCTGACGAGACTGGCTTACCAGTATGCTTAATATGTGGCGGGAAATTGGCAAACAACCAAAAGTCGAATGTTGCAAGACTCTTCCAGAATAAACACACAGCCTTTGCTGAAAAATATCCAGATGGAGATGAGAGAGAAAAAGCCATTTCGGAGCTGATGCGGAAGGTTGATCTGAGCAAAAATCATCTCAAGAAGGGGATGAAGTCTGCAAAGCCAGCTACATGAGCTACGAAGTTTTGTGGCCGCTCAGAAATAGTCAGGCACGGGAAGCCGTTCACAGGTGGAGATTATATATAAGAATCATTCATTGATTTCATACACGCAACACACTATAGTTTGTGTTGGATTTATGAAATGCAACACAAGGCATTAGGGTGAAAAACGGGATAGGCAGTGTTGTGTTCATCTGAGATGTCAAAGGGGCTTTGCGGCTCCTGGTGTTTTTTTCTTCTGTGGGGAACGGGTCCCAAGGGCGGCCTGAGTGTGTAGGTCGCCGGCCCCCTGGCTTAGTCCCTGATCTCCATCTCGCACACCCAGCCGTAGGTGCGAGTGCAGTGGCTGTCGTTCCAGCAGCTGTCCTGGGTGAGGTGGGCGCAGTCCTCCCCGCTGCCCAAGCCGTGGCCGTACCAGTTGTCCGGCTGATTCGGGCACCACTGCCTGAAAAGCGGGCGGAAGGCGAGAGCAGTGATGCCGCCCTGGCAGCATCCCGCGGCCCCTCGTGGAAGGCCGTGGGGTGCGAGGCCGGTTGCGACGCTTCGCGGGTGCTCCGGGGCTCCGCCGTCTCAGTCCCGGGGCAAGCAGAGCGCCCCCTCCCGTCCCCCGCTCCCGCACACGGCACCTGCCAGCCTGGGAGCCCTGCTCAGATGGGCAGCAACTCTGCACATGCTCAGTGGACAACTCCTGGAAGCCCCGAAGTGGGCATCCGGCGACGGGCGTGATCTTGGGGGCAAGGAACAGCCGAAGTGCTGCCCACCCAGTCCCTGCGCCTTCCCCAGGGATGGCCGTGCGCTGGGAGCCACCAGAGCGACCGGAGGCGACCCTGCCGGCGCAGCGCCCATGCGCCCTCAGCGAGGGCCGGTCCCCTTCTGAGCTGTCCCAGTGGGGGGGCGCCCGACACGCTGGGGACGTGGCCCCCGCAGCTCAGCTCTGCGGTGTGCGAAGAGGCCCTTCCTTCGCGCTGCCCCAAATCTCCTGCCCAGCAGCTCCCGGGACGACCCTCTGGGGGCTCATGCGGTGGCAGAGGGAGAGACAGGCCTCCCGCGCCCCTTGGGCACACCAGGGGTCATTTGCACACCCCTGTCACCACCCCCCGGTGGCATCTGTCCGTCTCTGCTGGAAGTGGCGGCTGTCAGTCAGTCTGTTTCTCTGTGTTGAGGCCGTCAGTGGGCACGGCTGGGCAAGATTGCTCCCCCCCCCCCACGAAAAGCTCCCGGCATGCCTTGCACGGAATAACCGGGGGAAGAGGGGAGCGCCTGCACCGAACTTACTCCTTGCCGAAGGAGAAGGAGGACCCGTCCACCCACTTCCAGCTCCCGCTGCTGTCGGTCAAGCCGATCCACGTGGACGTCGGCCTCACGTGCTCCGCCACGAACCGCTGGCCAGGAAAAGGACGTCAGTGGCAGGAAACGAACCGGCAGGCCCCCCCTCTCCTCAGGAGCCCCCCCGCCACATACGTGCTCCTCGTACGACTCGATGACGGCGAGGTGCGCGTCCACGGCCTCGCACTCGGCCCGGGCGTCCTCCCAGGTCTTCCTGTCCTTGGAGTGCCAGTAGCAGCTTCGGCGGAAGGCCACCCAGCCCCGGGGGCAGCAGGCCTCGGCCCCGGCTGCGCAAGAGCACGACGAGCGAGCGGGTGAAAGGCGGCCGGGGGGCGGCACTGGCTAGCACTGTCCCCTCCCGGAGACGTGGGAGGCCAGCCCCGCATCGTCCGCAGCCCCCCGGCCTGGACGCTGGGAGCGCAGGCTGACCCTCCTGAGGGGGGACCCCTTCGCACATGCAGGGAAGCCATCCTGGCCAGGCCGCCTGCTCCGTGCGAAAGGGGGAAGGCTCTGCAGGGCATCGCGGGCGTGTTTCGGCTTCGGCAGGGAGGGTGCGCCCAGGGCCGATGCGGGAGGGGCACGGTCGGGTAACCCAAGAGCGAGTGCAAGAGGAGCGCTCGTTTTACTGGCCAGATCCAGGAGCTTTGGCCTCTGGGTCCCGCTGCGCCTTGTAGGGCAGCCCCCCGCTCTGGGGGTGTGGGATTCCCTCCGTCAGGGGATGCTCGGGATGGTCGCTCCAGGCATCCAGAGGGCGCCAGGTTGGGGAAGGCTGGCCTAGTGGACAGAACGCCAGCGCAGAAGCAGAAGGGCTTGACCGCCCACCCGGCTCCGTGGATCGTGGCCGCAAGCGGTCCCAGCCCGATTCCTCTCCAGCAGCCGCTCCCTGGCCTTCCAGGCTGCACCCAAATACCTCACACTGCATTGCTGCTGGGGAAGTTCACTTCCCCCAACCAGGGTGGGGATGGAGGCTTGGGGGGGGGGGGCAGGAGACCTCAGTTTCCGCTGGTCAAAAAGCCCCAGCTCCACGTCCCAGTGGGCCCCAGCGCCACCTGTGGGGGTGGCGATGGACTCTGGAGAGCCACGAGGGCCGGGTGGTCCCGGCTTGCAGGGCTCCCCGGTGCCCCTGCGGCACTGGCCTGCTCCAGGCAGGAGGCAATGCTGGGCAAGGGGGCCTAGTGGTCAGACCCGCCCTTGCACTGGCTCCCACGGAGGCTGCCCCCTCTCCAACGAGGGGCCCCCTGCTGCGTTCCTCCTCCCCATCGAGAGCCAGGTGGTGCGGTGGCCACAGGCCCGCGGCTCCTCTCCCTTCCTGCCCCCCCCACCCCCGTGGTCTGGCCGGAGCAAGAGGCAGGTGAAGAAGGAGGCTGCGATGGGAACGAGGGGGGGCACGGGGGGGGCGCCTGTCCGTGGGCCACCAGCACGGACAGCGACACCCCGAAACCCGCGGGTCCCGTGATCCTCCCGGCCTGGACCAAGCCCAGGCGTGCACGGGTCCCGGGCCGGGGATACCAGAAGGGGAGCAGTCTTTCCGGTGCACCGAGCCACTTGCGGCGCGCACAGAGTCGGGGCCTCGCTCCCGCCACTCCGAGGCTCGGCCCGGATCCCAGTCCCCGCCTGACCTGTCCGGTTCTTCTTCAAGTTCTCCAGGTCGCAGTTCAGGATCCTCATGTTCCTCCGCAGCTCGTGCATCTGGGCCAGCAGGCGCGTCCTGGCTGGAGAGGGAGGGCATTGGCCGAACCCGCATCTTGCGCTGCGGCGTAGCAGGGCCATCCAAGCCCCGGTCGTGTGAGGGGGCCCCGCGCATTAAGCCCTGGGGGGGGGGGCCCGCCCCCCCGGGGCCCCTCCCCCCCCCCCCCCGGCGCGGCGGGCTGGTGCGGGAAGCCCGCCGCCTGGTGGCCGAACTCGCCCTCGGCGCGCAGGAGCCGCGGCGCGGGCGGCTTTGGGGCGAGGCGCCCCCTGGCGGTCCCGGGCGAGGCGAGGCGACGCCGCGCAGCCGTGGCGCGAGGGGCGGGCGTGCCCCCACGCGGCGCTCCCCGCGGGCGCCCCCGCAGGCTGCTCGCCCAGGCCCCGGGGGCCCGTTTGGCTGCGGGTTCCGCGCCCCCCCTCCGCGAAGGCCTCCTGGGGGACGCGCGGCTAGATCGGGCGGTGCTTCTCCCTCCCCGCAGGCCGGGCAAGCCCCCAGCGAGGGGCCGCGCCGGAGGACTGCGCTCCCCCCCCC